CAAGAAGATATCTGTAACCTGGAACCGAAAAATCTCAGTTCAGCTGGACATGAGAGCACTCTCTGTCCCTCTGAATCCAGCGCTGTAAAACTTTACCTGTGACCTGAATAAACTGTTTAACCTGAGACCTGAACTTCTCTCCGACTATTCCTTGGAGCTGTTTCAACAAAAGAACTGGGTCTAACACTACATACTACAGATATTTGACTACTTTCTTATTTAATTTAGTTTCTATTCATGTTTCATATCTGCTTTCTTTGAGGACAGCTTACAGTTCAGCCCAGTTTGCCAGAAAACTCTCATTATTATTTTATCTAGTGACTGTTGGTCACAACACTCAAACTTTTTGCTCTTTTTACAGAATCTAATTAATGAAAACACTTCCTTTTTTCTTTTTTAAAAAAAAAATGAGACACGTAGAATAACGTGATGTGGATGAAATATCACAATTTTAAGCTTAAATTTGGTTTTCAGAAAATTCAAAATAGATTATTTATATTTTTTCTCTTATTTCAATTAATTAATTAATTAGTTATCATTATTTTTTTGATAGGAAATTTTTTTTTTGACAAAAGACCAATGATAATATTGGCAACATGTTTGCACGTGAGTTGTACCCGTCACTGAAAACTGTTAAAACTGATAAATAAAGATTTTTATTTTATTTTTTATTTTTTTTTAAAAAGGAAAATTCAAAATCCAAAGCTTCTTTTTTTGTTTCTGGCTCTGATAAATTGTGTAATTTTGGCAGTTTTCTTAAAGGATAATATGCATTTCAAACCTGCTGGCAGGTTTTGGGGGTTCAGAGGGTTAAGGCTGCACAGAGCACGTCTGCAGGTAAAAACAAAAAAAAAAACCAAGGAGGTCGTAGAAAAGAATCCATTCTGATTTTTGATTTCAACTAATTTTACAAATGCTCCAAAATCAAACCGTGTGAGAGCAGCATTAAAGGCAAAGCTTGACTACAAACGACCTCTCAGAGCTCCATATGAAACACTGCAGTGTGCGTTGTTCTCTTTTGGTCATTTTTCTCCAAAAAACATGCGCTTCCTGTGTGTGGACGTACAGCAGCATGTCTGACTGCTGATGTCTTACCTCTGGCGGGCGTTTCTGTTCAGCTGCTGGGACGCCACCAGCGACCTGACTCCTCCACTGGTACGTGTAGTCGCACCAAAGGCACTGCTGGGTGAGGATGACGAGGAGGCCGTGGGTGGCCTTGTCCATCTGAAGCCCACATCCACATGACGGACATTTAGAACTGAACAACTGAAGAAGGCGCTTTTCGTTCACAACAAACTTCCCTTCCTTCTTCAGAAGTGCAGCTCTAAAAACAATCAATCAAAGGGAGACGTTAAAACACTCATCTCCTGTAAGAAGTGGTCAAACTAAAATGTTTAAGGGAGTGAACTTACTTTTCCCTGATCAAATCAGTGTTCACATTCTTGCGTTGCATCTGATCACATGTAGATGTAAATGCATCTGAGGCATCAGCTGGACATGAGACGTCTCTGGGGGCTTCTTTGAAGACTGTAATTTAAATCATAGTTGAGCACACACAGGAAAATGCAGCAATATATTACACAGAGTTACTGTTACCCATTGAAGACGGTCTTGATTCTTCAGAGCGGGCGGCTGGGCCATCACATGTGTTGAGTTGATTGTGCTCATGAACACCTTCAGTGTTCTCCACAGACTCCTACACACAGCAACAAAAGGAAAAGCTTAAAAAAGCATCTGAGCACAACATGCTAACAGCTGAGTGTGGCTGAT